CAAGAAATTATCAAAGCGGCAAATCAGATAAAGAACGGAAAAGCTGTTGGGGAAGATAATATCCCAATTGAAATAATAAAGATATTACTAGACGAACACATCGAAGTAATGGAAGATATATTTAACAAAATATACGAAACAGGCATAATACCAAATGATTGGCTGACATCGGTGTTTATACCACTACCAAAGAAGAAAAACGCCAAGAAATGTGAAGACCATAGGATTATTAGCCTGATGAATCATATATTGAAACTTTTCCTACGAGTAATACACAATAGAGTATACAATAAACTAGACTAACACACTGGTCAAACTCAGTTTGGTTTTAAGAATGGGTACGGAACAAGAGAAGCACTTTTTTCAATACGTGTGCTAGTTGAAAGATGTAGAGATGTCGATTCTGATGTATACTTGTGTTTTATATACTTTCAGAAGGCGTTTGACCTGGTGAAACATTATAAACTAATAGATATTTTAAGGTCATGTAATATCGACGATAAAGACTTAAGGATCATTTCAAACCTTTACCAAGAACAAAAGGCTAAAATCAGAATAACAAGCGAAACATCTGGAAAAATCAATATCGAGAAGGGAGTAAGACAGGGATGTGTCCTATCACCTTTGCTGTTCAATGTTTACTCTGAGAAGATATTTCAGAAAGCTTTGGAAGGCACCTCGGATGGTATAATTATAAACGGGCAATGTATAAATAACCTGCGATATGCTGATGACACTGTCATACTGGCAAATAATGCTGAAGCCCTGCAACGCTTAATGGACCGAGTAATGACAGCCTGTAGAGAATTTGGAATGAAATTGAATACAAAGAAGACAAAAACGACGATCATCAGTAAGCACCAAAACAGAAGGGTGAAGGTCAATGTCGACGGAACAGATCTGGATAGAGTAACAAGAACAACGTACCTTGGAAGTAATCTTGATGAAACTTGGGACCACTCACTAGAGATAAGAATACGCCTGAAAAAGGCACGTACAATGTTTTACAAAATGCAAAAAGTTCTATCATCCGCCAGCTGGGCATCTCATTGAGAACTAGAATACTTAAGTGCTATGTTTTCTCCACCCTGCTCTATGGTGTTGAAGCCTGGACAATGACAGAAGCAACACAAAAAAGAATCCAAGCATTCGAACTCTGGTGTTACCGTAAAATGCTCAGAATATCCTACATGAGCCATACGACGAATGCGGAAGTCTTGCGGAGAATGAATAAGGAAAGAGAGCTTATGCTTATAATAAAAGAACGGAAAACACAATATTTTGGTCACATCATAAGAAGTCAAAAGTATGAACTGCTCCAACTTATAATCGAAGGCAAAGTCAATAGCAAAAGAGGACCAGGAAGAAGACGCAACTCTTGCAAAAAAACTCTCGCAACTCTTGCAAAAAAACTCTTGCAACTCTTTCTAAAAACTTACGGCAATGGACGAACATGACCTCCATAGAACTATTCAGAACTGCTACAAATAAGATTAAATGGGCAAATGTAATGGCCAACGTCCTTAAGGATAAGGCACCGTAAGAAGAAGATTGGTTAAGTGCTATCATTTGAGATATCGTACGTCACTATTGGCCTAATAGGACCAAAGGTACATAACTAAGGCCCTTTTGACATGCAACTCCATTACCTCATTGTATCTCATTGTATTTTATTTGTTAAATCCTTTCATTTGAGGTACTGCACGTCATGATTGGACTAACAGAACCGAAGATACACAACTAAGGCCCTTTTGACATTGTGCTGTATTTCATTTTTCTATCCCATTGTATTCCTTACGGTAAATCTTATCATTAGAGGTACTATACGTCACGATTGGACTAATAGGATCAAAAATACGTGACTACGGCCCTTTTGACATGTTGCTGTATTTGATTTTTCTATTTCATTGTTTTCGATTGGTTAAATCCTATCATTTGAGATACTGTACGTCACGATTGGACTTATAGAAACGAAGGTATATAACTAAGGCCTTTTTGACATGCTGCTTTTCTGTCTTATTGTATTTTATTGGTTAAATCCTATCATTTGAGGTGCTGTACATCACGACTGGACCAATTGGAGCAAAAATATGCAATATATACCCCGTTATATATACCCAATATATAACCCGTTATTTTTAATCAAACAAGATGCTAGAATGATTTATGGATGAAAAAAATATATATAAATTCTTAAATTTACCATTTCGTTGTGGGTAATATTATATTCAACAGCGATGCCAAATTTCTGATGCCAAAATGATTGATAATGAAAGTGCGATATACATTTTCATGTATATAATGGCAGCGAGTAAACGGTAAAACCCTGAACTAAATATATATAATATTTTCACTGTACCATCATTTTAGACTCAAACATTTCCTGGAATAAACTTATATAACTCAGTAAGGGATAAAAAGAGAAAGCGGACATTTTAAAATACCAACACGGTATCAAATCTCTAATCATTGAGATGGTTAAAATTCTTGTAACAAGTACAGGAAAAAAGTTATTAAGGTCTTGTAAAGTAGCGTCGATATACAGATGCTACTTTGCAAGACGATGCTAAATTGATGGTAAAAGCATAATGTATCGATGCCAAAATGATAGTAGGATGTATATATATATATATATATATATATATATATATATATATATATATATATATATATATATATATATATATTAATATTACAGGATCCAATTTGTAAATAGAATACATCTTGGAGACGGCGTATTCCCGTCCTCCTCCGCCAATCCTCTCGGTCCAAGGCATGCTCCTCCTCCAAACCTCTCGATTCCATTGCTCTTCTAATACCTTCATTCCATGAGCGTCGAGGTCTACCTCTTTTTCTTCTACCAGGGGGCTTCCATCTGTGAAGTTTTTGGGGCCAACGTTCGTCAGGCATTCTTAACAGGTGTCCAAACCATTTTAAACCTCTTCTTTCTATTCTGTCTATGACCGTATCTGTAGCATTCATCTGATTTCTTATAGATTCGTTGGTTTTCCTTTCCAGCCTTGATGTTCGAGCACTTCTTCTCAAATAATCCATTTCAACTGCCAACAATCTTCTTTTCAGGTCTGCATTAATTGTTCATACTTCAGAGCCATAACAAAGAACTGATTCAACCATCGTTTGCCCTATTCTTTTTTGTTCCTTTTGGAAATGTTGCGATCCCACCATAAGGAGTTCAAACATCCTACAATTTTGCCTGATTAATTCGGTGTTTAATTTCGGTTTCACCCAAGCCGTTATTATCAATGAATGCACCTAAATATTTAAATTTTTCCACTTGTGTGATTTCCACGTCCTCGTCTATCAACACTTCAAACCTTGCATCTGAATTGATAACTAGATATTACGTTTTCTTCATGCTGACTTTTAACCCCCATTTTACATATTCTCTGTATAGACGCTTTATCATAAATTCTAGATCATAAGAATCTTGAGCTAGAACGACTTGGTCATCCGCAAAGTTCAGGGAGAACAGTACGTCATTTCCTATTGGGATTCCCATTCCCTGGCAGTGGTTTTTCGAATTTTGAAGGGCTGCCTCAATATATAAATTAAACAGTAAAGGTGACATACTGCATCTTTGTCTCAGCCCTTTAGTTACTTTTATCGGCTCTGATAGTTTATTTCCGATTTTTAGGTAAGTGGTGTTATCCCTGTATACTTCTGTGATTATTAATAAAAGGTGTGGACTAATGCCGAGTTGTTGTAAAGCTTGCCACAATTTAGGCCTTGGTACTGTATCATACGCTTTTTCTAGATCGATGAAGGCTAGATGTACTTCGTTACCAACCGCTATTCTTTTTTCTATTAATTGTTGGAGTATAAACAAGTTATCAGTGCAAGATCTACCAGGCGTAAATCCGCTTTGGTCTTCGCTAATTAGATGTTCTACATCATCTTGTATTTTTCTATTTATTATCTTTCCAAACAATCTGCCGAAAGTAGGTAGGACACTCAATCCTCTGTAGCAATTAGGATCTTTTCGATTACCCTTTTTAAAGATGGACACTTGGTTAGCGGTTTTCCATTCAGATGGTATTTTAATTTGTTGGCAGCATTGATTCATTAGAAAAGTTATTCGTTCGATTAGGAGTGGACCTCCTGCTTTAAGTAACTCTACAGCTATATTGCCAGGTCCTGAAGATCGCCCGTTTTTCATTTTAATTAGCGCAGTACGGACCTCGTTGCTGGTAGTATTAATGTTACTATTTGTTTGTCTCTCCATACTGTATTCTTCTCCCATATATTCCAATCTGGACTCTTGGAGTAAATTTTTATAGTGATTTTCCCATTTTTCTATAGAAATTAAATTGCTTAATGAGTTATGAGTGTTCTTCTTTAGATTAGTGATAGTTCTCCATGCTTCCGTTTTCTGAGAACCACCCATTAAATTTTCAACTTGGACACATTTTTGTTCCCAGAAATTGTTTTTTGCTTCTTTTATTTGCTGGCGTTCTTCTCCGTTTTTCATTTGATATGATACTCTATTGCTAGATGTTTTATTTGTTAGCCATTTTTTATATAATTTGTTCTTTTCTTGTATCATTTCTTTTACGTTTTCTGTCATCCATGGTGATTCGTGGTGTTTTTTGTCGTTGTTCTCTGTTCCTAATACTTCATAAGCAATTTTTTTTATTATCATTTTGAGGTTATTGCATTCTTGTTCTACATCCATATTTCTTTCCATCTCATTTAGTTCCCTTTCTAATCTACATTGAAAAAGATGTTTAATACTTGGTTGGAATAAAAGATGCAATTTATATTTCTCCGTTTTGTACTGCGTAGTATTGTTTCTCTGACTTTCGGTGTTATGTTTGTTGTTTTGTTTAAAGGGGCACAATTTTTATGCTTTATTATTTATTATTTTATGGGTTTATTTTGTGCCCCTTTAATAAGAAAACTAAAAGTCAAGAAATTTATTGCCTTCTTGCCATACGTTATTTACTCTTATGTATAAAATTAAAATAATTCGTAATTTTTAGAAAACTCGAAGACGCTGAGGATTGTATTGTGGATACTCTCAGCAACCATTGCTCTCAGGACATCACAGATGTTGTTGTATCCGTAATAAAAATTTTAAAAACCAATGCATGCAGTTACGCACCTAAGCATAGAAGCCGAAGAAGTTTGCATAGAGTTGTAAGACAATTGGCAATGTCTGATAAGATGGACAGAATTGAGGAGCATTTAAAAACTAAATGTATCAAAAATGGACTGGAGTCCAAGAAATTGGAAGTATGTATCTCAATAAATACTCTTTTGACTATGTCTCTATTTTTTAGATTTTGTTTCTGTGGGACGATAAACGAATAGAAAATAATGGATAAGTTGTTCTGTTATATGCACCATCCGTATTTTTTTTATTTTTTTATGTTAAAATATATTAAATGGAATAGAAACAAACGTTAAAGAAGACATCATAAATATAATCCACCATTTCTACTCAGAATTATATAAAACAAAAAAGGAAGCACCAGAAGAAATTAAAAACCAACTTAAGGTCAAAATAAAAAATGTCAACTCAGAGCTGCAGCCCGAAATAAGCAAATCAGAAATAAAGAAGGCATTGAAAGAAATGAAAAACAACAAATCGCTTGGAAAAGATGAAATAACTGCAAAGATGCTGAAATATGGTGAAAAAGTGGTAATTAATACTCTACATTCCCTTTTTAACAAGATATTAAAAGAAAAAAGAATCCCAAATAACTGGAAGGAATCAGTAACCATTATCCTACACAAAAAAGGGGATAAAGCAGATATAAAAAACTACCGTCCTATAACACTCCTCAATGTAATGTATAAACTCTTAACAAAAATTTACCATCGAAACCAGTCGAAAGAACAAGCTGGTTTTAGAATCAGCACAAGTCACCATTTACTAAGTATGAAAATACTTATAGAACGAGCAAATGAATACCACATTCCTCTATATATGGCGTTCATAGATTTGGAAAACGCTTTCGACTGTGTCGAACATTGTGCAGTGAAAAGATATATATATATATATATATATATATATAATATATATATATATATATATATATATATATATATATATATATAAGGAAGCCAAACCAACAATTAAAGTATATGAAGGAACAAAATCATTACAAATAAGTAGAGGCGTGAGACAGGGTGATACAATATCACCGAAACTTTTCAATCAGGCTCCTGAAGATACTTTTAAAAGATTAGAATGGGTAAAAAAGGTATAAAAATTTGTGGACAACGCCTGAACCATCTAAGGTACGCTGATGACATCGTATTGATAACCGATGAAATAGAAAAATTATTTGAAATGATGAAAAAACTGGACGTAGAAGCTAAAAAGATAGGCCTTAATATGAATTACAGCAAGACCAAAACTATAACAAATACAGATGAAGACATCACAATGAGAATGGGACAAGATGAAATAGAACAAGTTAAGGATTATATATATCTTGGTCAAACTATAAAACTTAACAAAGAGAACCAAACAGCAGAGATCAAGAGACGAGTTAGACTGGCATGGGCGGCATTTGGCAAACTAAGCTACATTCTTAAAAACAAAAGATATCCACAGCGTCTTAAGACCAAAGTATATAATCAATGCGTACCCCCTGTTCTTACTTATGGTTCCCAAATGTGGACATCTACAAAAGCTTTTCATCTTAAGCAAGAGAAAAAAAATATGATATTTTTTTACATGTTCTGTAAAAATCAAATAAAAACCATAACTAATAGAAACATTTAGGATTTGAATATTGTCCAAGAACTATCACACAGTTTATATATATTTCATAACAGGTCATCAAAGACGATACAGTACTCCTAGCTTCTAGTCAAGAAGATCTGCAAACACTACTTGATAGTGTCGTTGAGAGTTGTAGGGAGGCAGGTCTGGATCTTAACATAAGGAAAACCAAAATACTCGTAATAAGTAAACAACAGAATATAAAACCGTCTATATATGTAAATAATACCAAACTTGAGCAAGTTGATAAAATCGTCTACCTTGGACAGCAATTAAATTGTAATGCAGAAAATCACGGCGAAATTAGATCCAGAATAGAGCAGGCTAGAGCTGCTTTTAGAAGGATGTCCAAGGTGTTATGTAACAGAGACCTAAAACTGACATTAAGGATCCGCCTACTTCGCTGCTACGTGTTCTCGGTCTTACTTTATGCTGTCGAGTCCTGGACTGTGAATAAAATCGATCTAAATCGCCTTGAGGCTTTCGAAATGTGGTGCTATAGAAGAATTTTAAAAGTTTTCTGGGTGGAGAAGATTCGTAACCCCACAATACTAGAACGTCTCAGCAAGACTACTGAGATCATAAAAAGCATCAAGCAGAGAAAGCTGGAATATTTCGGACATGTAATGAGAGGTCCCAAATATAGATTGCTACAAAATATCATGCAAGGAAAAATAGCAGGCAAACGCAGTCCAGGACGAAGAAGAACCTCATGGTTGAAGAACTTGCGAGATTGGTATGGTGTAGATACAAGCATGCTATTTAGGATGGCAGTGAATAAAATTAAAATAGCTATGATGGTAACCAACGTTCTGAAAGGACATGGTACATGAAGAAAAAGAAGTCATCAAATAGTTGCACATGTCTTAGTCACTTGGCAATATCGATTTAAGAGATTTCTTAACAGATATAATCGATTTTAATTTTAATTTTTTAGCTAATCCGTTATAAACTTTTGATATTTGATACGTAAATGAATTTTTGAATTGTTCTGTGCGATGTGGCGGAGCTGTAATTGTATTTTTGTATCTTGTATTGAGATTATGTATGTCAGTTCTGTATATAATTTTTTCAAAAAGTTATGCTGGAAGAGAGTTTTTTGATAATTTTGTGGAAAAGACAAGCAGCATGTAGAAATTTTCTCTTTGCTATACTCAGCCATTTTACACGTTTTAATTTGTGAGAAATAGGCTGGTGTCTTCTTACACCACAGATCAGACGAAGACACGAATTTTGAACCACCTGAATTCTTCTCCTGTCATCTGAACTAATACAAGGCCCATACACAACATCTCCATAGGTAAATTTTGATAATACTAAACTTTCACACAGTATTCTTTTTACTTTGTATGACAGACAGCGGCGATTATGATAAATTGTTCTTAGACTGAGAAATGCTTTACTCACATAGGTGTTAATATGTTTAGTAAATTTGAGTTGATTGCCTTAAGTTAAACCTAGATTTTTTGCGCTAGTTACAGGTTTAATGATCTCATTATCAACAACTAATTTAATGCTGTTACCCATCTTCATACATACCCTGTTTGGACCAAAAACCACCAGATTAGTTTTTTTTGAGTTTATATTTAATGCATGATTTTTTGCCTAAGCAATCAATGATTTAATATCCTCATTAACAATCTCAATAGCACTTGCTCTGTCAACCGGGTAAAATGAGTGATAAATTTGTGTGTCATCGGCATAGAGATGAAATTTACAGGTATTCAGGGAGGTACCAATGTTGGTGGTGTATAAGGTAAATAGGATTGGAACTAAGATTGAGCCCTGAGGTACCCCTGACAAATTTTTTAAAAAGTCAGAGTTTTTTTCGTCTACTTTGACGCTCTGTTTCCTGTGATGCAAGTATGACTTAACCATATTCAATGCATTCCTGGAAAAGCCGATTGACTTCAAAATTGCACAGAGTAGTGAATGATTGAGAGTGTCGAATGCCTTAGAAAAATCGATCAAAACTAAAATGGTAAGTAACGTTACCCACATCTCTTTCTTTAAAAATGTCATCAGTTATTTTAAGGACTCCTTTTCTTAACGATTAAATTCCCTCTTTTGTCTTTTTGCTCGATGGTTAGAGCTAAGGAACCCTCTAAGTGGTGGTCCAAGAGGGTGTACCAATAAATCATTCGATTATATTGCGACTTTGAGTGGCGATAATTTTAGTAAATTTTTACGGTAATACTAGACCGTACGATTGTGTATATTTTTGTGACCCAAAATACAAAAGAGAAAGCTAAATTTTACGTAATTAAACATAATAAATGAGATTGCCAGTTTAAGCTTTACTAGATATACTTTAACAAAGTCGTTAGAATACAGCGTTGAATTGGATCATATTACAGTACCGTAACAGAAAAATATTAAATGTAAAAATATGAAAAGTACATACTTTCCCAAACACCTCTGGATAGGAGTCATCATCATCATCATCATCATCCTCCAGAACTTTGCGTCCACTGCTGGACATAGGCCTCCCTCATTTTTGTTCATTGTGCTATGTCTTAAGCAAAACATAAAAAGAAAAAGACAGCCAAGGTTTGATTTCACGTCTAGTGCGTCTGTGTATTTGCTTATACGTATTTCGCCCTAATAAGGCTCGTCAGAACAGTTATTTACAGTGATTCTAAACGTAATAATAAATCTTTTCTCTCTTAGGAAGCACCTCTAACATAGCTTCGTATAGACGCAAATAGCGACATCTGATAATAAAATCCGTAGACTAACTTTCGAAATCAAATTCAGATTTTTGCATTAATCTGTGGCTTCTAAGAATTGCAAGACAAAACAGACGTTGACAAGGATGTTATTAGAGTCAAGGGGAATCTAAAATTTACATTCCACGACATATCTCCCTAACTAAGCATAAATTCTTATCGAATCGGTTTCTTGTTCTCGTACAAAGTATATCCGAATAAAAAGAAAAAGACAGTCAAGATTTGATTTCGTATAAACAGATACATAGACACACTATACGTGAAATCAAATATTGACTGTCTTTTTCTTTTTATTCCGATATACTCTGTACGAGTACAAGAAAACAATTCGCTAAGGATTTATGCTTAGTTGATGAGACATGTCGTAGAATTCAAATTTTAGATTCTCCATGTCTCTAATAACATCTTTATCAACGTCTGTTTTGTCTTGCAATTCTTAGGAGCCACAGATTAAAGCATAAATCCGAATTTGGTTTCGAAAATTAGTTTACGTATTTTAATCATCATCACAGTCATTAACATCTTAGTAGATGTGTTGTGGTTCATAATTGGGCTTTAGCAGCTCGGACAGTTTGATAGATAATATTTCTCCACTGGTCGCGGTCATCAGTTATATGTATTGCCTCAGTATACTGTTTATTGAGAAGCTTTTTAGTAATGTCCGCCCATCGCTGTGGAGATCTTCCGCGTTGGCGTTGAGTCTGAGGCCTTCCTTGGACCACCAACGGCTCCATTTTGTGATCACTTCGATGTATATGGCCAAAGAACTTTAAAATTCTAGAGTAAACGGTACTGGAGAGACGCTGATCCGGTTTAATTTCGTCCAGAAACGAGATATTTGTACGGCCAGCCGTCCATGGAATTCGAAGCAGGCGTCTTCATGTCCACATTTCAAAGGCGTCTATACGTCGTCGATCTGATTCTTTGACTGTCCATGTCTCGCATGCATAGTAAAATATGGAAAAGACCAGAGTTGAAACGAGTCTCTTTTTGTTTGTCATAGTAATGTGACGATCACGCCAGACCCCGTTTAGTTCACTCATTGCTGCTCTTGCTAGTTGAATGCGTCTTCTAATTTCGGATTCACAACTGCCTGTGTTGTTAACTAGAGCTCCAAGATATATCATAGATGAGACTACCTCGCATCCCGCAATAGTTTGGGTTTCAGGAAACTGTTGTTGGCGATCAATAACCATGATTTTGGTTTTGTTGTATTTAACCATGAGTCCAAATTTAGCACTTTCTACCTCGAGTTTTTTTAATAATTTAATAATTTCTTCTGGAGTAGAGGCTAGAAGTGTAGTGTCGTCTGCGAAACGCAAGTTAGATATCTTAACACCACCTAGATTTACTCCTCCCTCCCAACCATCCAAAACTCTGCGCATTATAAACTCCGAATAGATGTTATATAATAAGGGAGATAAAACGCATCCTTGGCGTACTCCCTTCTCCAAAGTGCATTTGTCCGACAGATATCCGTCCATTCGAATATATGCCAGGTAATCTTGATACAGTTTGCTAATAAGGTGAGTCAAGTGTTTAGGTACACCCATTGTCACCAATATGTTCCATAGTTTGTCCCATCTAACATTATCAAAGGCCTTTGTATAATCGACGAAACATATAAATATCGGGATCTGGTATTCTCTGGCTTTTTCTATGATGTTTCGTACATTAAGGATTTGTTCTCTAGTACCTCTGCCCTTTACGAATCCAGCCTGCTCCGGTGCTATTTGCCAACTTATGAAGTTTTCTAGACGCCGTTGCAGTATGTAGAGGATCACCTTACTGGCGTGTGATATTAGAGCTAATAGCCTGTAGTTGTTACAATTATTTGTTGAACCTTTCTTATGAAGAGGTATGATTATGGTCTTTCTCCAATCCTCAGGCCAGACGCCTGTGTGCCATATTTCATTGCACAATCGATGTAATATTTTCACTCCACATTTCGGAAGATGCTTCAAGACGTCTGCAGTAATGAGATCATATCCTGCTGCTTTGTTTAACTTAAGTCTTTTTAAAGCGAATTCTACCTCGGAAAAAAGTATGTCAGATTCAGACTCAAAACTAGGGTGGTGTGTCTCTGTTGAAGGAGAATGGAAAGTGGAGGTCTGGCAGTCAGGTACAAACAGGGCGTCCGCTGGCATCTGGTCCGTATTGGCGTATAAAGACTTACAATACGCCCTCCAAACATCAATAACCTTGTCCAAATCCGTCTGTACATTACCTTCATCATCTTTGATAGACCAAGATTTCTGCTTGAATTTACGTGTGAGTTGTCTGACTTTATCAAAGAGTTCTTTGGTGTTATTTGTGTCGGCGTGTAGTTGAATTTCTCTGCAGATTTTCTCTATATGCTTGTTTTTGTCTCGTCTACAAGCAGCCTGAATAGCTCTAGATAGCTGTCGGTACTGGGAATTCCTGAGAGGGTTCTCGATTCCAGCAATTTTAAGTTTTCTACGTTCTTCAACGAGGTCAAAAGTATCTGCAGACATCCACACTTTTTTTGGTCCGGTTGAGACGGCATTAGACTGTGCCTCGCAGTCAGTCAAGGTCTGTATCAAGGTATTTTTAAAAGATAACCAAATATTTTCGGAATCATGAGTGACGATAGTTGGTAAAATATTTTCGAATCTTTCATTACATTGGATTTTAAATTGTTGTGTATCTTTTATTTTTGATATCCTCTTGTTTCGGATCCTAGCACATGCCTTGAATTTTTGCTTTAGCGTTGCAACAAGAAGTTGGTGGTCAGTTGCAACAAGAAGTCGTGTTTTACATTGGCTAATAGATGTTTTCCAGCGATGTTTAATCATTATGTAATCGATCTGATTTCGGTGTCGTCCGTTAGGTGAGATCCAAGTGTACCATCTTCTGGGGTGGTGCCTATACATAGAGTTCATTATTGTCAAGTCATTGTCAACGCAGAACTGGATAAGGCGGTCTCCCCTTGAATTGCGTTCACCTATTCCATATTTTTATTGATTTTAATATCACAACATAATTTTCAATAAAATGTAATACATATTAAATTTTATACCATTAAAAGGGTTTCACCCAGGTTGTTAAGTGGCTTAACTCATGTGCACCGAGTTAGTATTTAACCACATTGCTTTTTCAAGCTTAGTCAAAATTTTATCTTCACGTTTGCTTTAAATTAACTGGAAGTACTTTTTCCAGTAAAAACATTAATGATGGGCCGTTTAGTTCGAAAACGTTTTGTGATGTAACCCGAAAGGGATTTCAAATTATATACCTTTTATAAACGATTTTAAATAAACTTTTTTAAAGTTAAATACTCTCTTGTCTTTTCTGTAGTTTTACAGGATATAGCATATTAGAGTAGTTCGTAATGACATTTTCGTAGAAGAAAATATTTGTTAAACTAATTATAAAATTGTTTAAGGACAACGTATTAAAGATGAAAAATTGTATAAAGGAAAAACCCATTTTCTTTGTTCCAAAACATATCTACATCAAGCATATTGACGGATGTACCAAAGAAGTTATTAAAATGTTAAAGGCTTGTTTACCAGAAAAATATAAATATCTTCCTCAACTGATTTTTAATGTTTTTGATTCGATGATCAGTTTTATGTACGATGATTTTACTCTTATAAGTTGTAAGTATATTTTTTAAGTATATTTAATATGTATCACGCAAAATTAAGAAACTATAAAGTAAAACACTATTGTACGAAAAGGATTTCAATGTTTTACAGTTATCGTACTATAGGCTAATGCCCTATTGTATATATTCGCTAGATTCACTACGACCGGGACCGTCTGCTTCTTAAGATTTACCATAATTATTATGTTTTTAAAGAGAAGTAGAGAATATTCCAACAGAATTATACTCTTACTTAAACCAGAGCAAACCCAAAATAAACATCCTACAAGTTTATGCTCCAACTGCAGACAAACCAGAGAGCGTAGATATTAAAACTATCTACGAAGACCTAGACAGCATTTTAAAATCCATTAAAACGCAAGATTTAACAATTATAATGGTAGCCTTTAATGCAAAGGTTGGGAAAGAAAAAGTAAAAGAACGCACAGGAGGATATGGACTGGGCAACAAAAACGAAAGGGGTGACAAGCTTATCAAATTTTGCCAAAACAATAATTTTGTTATAGCTAATACATTGTTTAAAATGCCAAAGAGAAGACTATCTACCTGGAAGTCACCCCCAAATCAAGAAGAGAGAATTGTAAGAAACCAAATAGACTATGTATTGGTTAGACAAAGATACAGGAACGCAATTATATCCGGAAAAACCTATAAAAGTGCCGATATAGAATCAGATCAAAACCCAGTAGTGACCAAAATTAGGCTCAAAATAAAAATAATAAAGCGAAGAACAACAAATGGAAAAATCGATACAAGTAAATAGGAACTAAGTAATAAGGAACCCACTCATAAGGCAACGCCTGGCAAATGAAATCAACAAGGGATTAATGAATGTTAAAGAACAAATTCTACAAAATACTAAGACAAATAAAAAATGGTTATTAATCAAGACAGAAATAGATAAAATTCAAAAAGAGATTCTAATATAAACCAGATATAAAAAAAAGCAATGGATGACGGAAGAAATTTTAGATTTAATGGAAAAAGACGTCAATATAAGAACAAAGATAATCGCATGTACAGAAAAGTGGATAAATAAATAAAATACAGAATTAAGAAAGCGAACGAACAATGGCCAAAAGAACAATGGGCAGAAATAAAAGAAATACCAGAAAAGACATGATAGTTTTAACACACACAAAAAAATTAAAGAATTAACTCACAAGAATAGAACAAGAAAACCGGGAATACTGAAAGATGCAAATGGGAAATTTATGGTGATCAGATGGAGATAGAAGTAGAACACAATATGGTTTTAAAGATATTAAAAGAGGAAATTAAGATGGCATTAGAAACAGCAAAAATGATAAAGCATTAGGTCCAGACGAAATCCCTATAAAAATCTTAAAATGCATGAATGATGAAACCTTAGACATTATAGTAGACTTATTTAACTCAGTATACAAAACAGGACACATACCGAAACAATGGTTACTCTTCACCTTTTGTGCTATCTCCAAAAATACAAACGCTAAATATTGCAGTGAATACAAACAATATTACTAATAAGTCACATTCTCAAACTATTCCTGAAAATAATACATGGTCGTATAAATAAAAAACTGAAAGAAGGAATAGATGATAGTCAGTTTGGGTTTAGAAACGGACTAGAAACCAAAGAAGCTTTATTTGCTTTTAATGTGTTGTAGCTCAAGGATGCATGGATATGAATGTTAATGTGCATGTTTGTTATGTTGATTCTGAAAAAGCATTTGACAAAGTAAAACATGAAAAATTAGTCCAAATTCTAAAGACAAAAAACATAGACCACAGGGACTTACGAATAATAGCAATTCTGTACTGGAATTAAAGAGCACAAACCGAAATAGATAACGAACCCAGTCCAGAAATTGAAATCAGGAGAGGAGTTAGACAGGGATGTATTATGTCCCCGTTACTATTTAATGTATATAGTGAAGCCATTTTTGATGACGCATTACTATCTCAAAGTGATAGAATAATAATTAACGGAAGATCTATTAACAAAATAAGATATGCAGATGACACCGTGATTATGACAATCTCTGCTGAACAACTCCAATTACTGTTAAACAAAACAAATAGTTTCTGTAAAAAATATGACTAAAAATAAATATAAAAAAGACCTAATACATGATATTAACAAAGAAAACAAATATACCAACAAACATGCATTTGGGAAATGTACCGATAGAAAGGATTGATAAATACAAATACTTAGGAACCTGGATTTCAGAAAATAATGATCAAAGAACCAAAATAAGAGCTAGGATAGAAACAGCAAGAAATGCGTTCGTAAAAATGAAAACAATTCTCTGCAACAGAGATCTTAGATTAGAACTGAAAGTAAGAGCACTGAGATGCTACGTGTTTTCGATACTGCAATATGGACTTGAAATCTGGACATTGAAGCAAGAACACATAAATAAGTTACAGTTTACTATGAAATGTGGTGTTACAGGAGAATGCTTAGCATAGCATGGACACAAGAGAAAACTAACACGGAAGTATTGCGAGAAATAGGCATAGAAATGCGAAATAATAAAAACAATAAAAATAAGAAAGTTACAATATCTGGGACACGTAATGAGGGGACAGCGATTTGAACTGCTAAGACTGATAATACAGGGAAAGATAAGAGAAGGAAAGAGTATAGGAAGAAGGAGAGTGTTTTAGAGAGACTGGTTTAAATGCAACTCCATATAACTCTTTGGAACAGCAGTAAATAAAGTAAAGCTAGTGATAATAATATCCAACTTTCGATTGGAAGACGGCACTTAAAGAAGAAGAGAATACACTAATGCTATCAATATAAACCAGGCATATTTTTTCTGCTATAACCTCTTTTAATACAATGCAATCACTCTTTTAAAAGTTTCTCGTCTCTTTTTCATGTATTGGTAATGATAACTTTCAACACTAAAAGAGTGTAACAGTATTGACAGCATCGTAGTTAGCCTGGAATGTCCTTTATGTTCGAAATTCTATCAATAATATCCTCGTAGAAAAGTTGCTTCTGCATAAGTTCATTCAACAGTTCTTTATGAGGTGCGATAACAGTCAAACTGGATAGTCTATCTTGTGAAATAGTATCTATTTATTCTAAAAGTTTTTAACCTTTTTAAGCACGAAAAACTTCTTTCTACGGAAACGCTTGTCGATGGAATTGTCAGAATTAAACAAAAGAAATTATAGGCTTCCGCAACAACGTCTTTAATTGGTTGTAATTTTATAACAAATTCTTTCAAATTCACATTTTTGTAATTTTCGTAGGCATAAAGAAGGCAGAGCTTACTTAAAGTCTTTGATCTTCAGTAAATTGTGTGCCATAAAACTCAAATAAATTTTGAAAAGCGTCGGAAGGGAATGTCAAAGTGTATAAGTCAAATTTTGTTGTATCTGCTAAGCTTACGAATTTTAATTTATCACAATCCTGAAAACGTATATCCATTTCCATTAAAATATGATTACATATGAAATCGTAGGCTTCCACGGCCAGAGTCAGAATTATAGTTTATTCGTCTTCCGGGTTTGGACCGTGTCATTTGTGTCACTGATAGGATTGGCAAAATTCTTCGCAAAGAAGGTATCAGGACTACTTTTCGACCACCCAAGAAAATTTCACAATATCTACCCTCTCCTAAGGACCCATTACCGCCCCTATCTTCCTGTGGTGTCTATTATATTCCTTGTTCATGTGGACATGTGTATATTGGCGAAACTGGTCGTTCCGTCAAAACTCGGACTCAAGAGCATCAAAGATGCATTCGATCAGGCCTTTTCTCCCATTCTGCAGTTGTAGAACACTGCCAAGAAACCGGTCATTCCATATTGTTCGAAAAAACCCATATTATTTCTAAGAGCCCCTTCTTTTATTCCAGGAAAATCCGCGAATCTCTAGAGATCCGAAAAAATCCACACAATATCAATCGAGAGGAAGGATACTACTTGTCTCCCATCTGGAATCTCAGTCTAGAGCCGCCGTCCGGTCCCACCACCACGATGCAGCCACATGATTGGCCAGCGCGGGCTTCTTGACGTTCGCGCCACGGAGTGTGCCGATACGTCCCGACACGACAGGTCACCGCGACTATAAATAGAGCGGTAGCGGAGTAATCGTCAGATTCACTCCCCGCCTCTCGACGCGTTAGTGTTCTGAGCTGTTGGACGTGAATCCCTGTCCTGGCATTTGGTTTTCACCTCTCGCTGCGTTGAGTAGTTGAGTTACTGTGACCAAATGCCCATCTTGGTAGTTAGTATTCGCCTCTGGTTGCGTTGAGTAACTGAGTTACCGTTGCTAACTACCCATCTTCCTGTCTTCTTTTTCTTTTTCTTTGTTCTCCTGAAGAAGCTACATACAATTGTAGCGAAACGTCGAGATGAACCCACTTTTGGGTCACTCACAAATGACACGGTCCAAACCCGGAAGACGAATAAACTATGATTACATATTTCAAAAAATAATGCTCTTTATTGAGTAGTAAATGCATTCTTGCTTATACCATCATGACACCTAAACTGCGGACGAAAAATAAGGACGAGTTGTCCTTATCTGATTTGATAATTCTCATCCCCTCTGAAACTGTTTTTAAAATAATTATACAATCCCAAAATTATGTGTTATTGGAAAAGAAATAAATCATTTTTTTCAACATTTTTAGCGGAACTTACCCCTTGTCTACCAAAACTTAAAAGTGAAGAAAGCACTACGGAATACAATGAGTGTAATAGAAAAGTAACAGATATCGTTGAGGATGAACTTGTTGACACAAAAGAAAAATTTTGCGAGTAAGTATAATAGCTAGTTACAAAAAAATTGTACCTACAACATTGCCAATTTCTAGCATACAAGTAATAAAAATTAATATCGACAGTAAGTTTTAAATAAAGCAGTTTTGTAACACTCATAATCCTTGATTTGTTTTTATTTGCTATGTTTATAATATACTTTATATTACAATTTTTGTTTCAGCTTATTAGTAAATATGTCGATTTTTATAGTTTTGTATTGATCATTATTTGATATATTTTTTAAAGTGATCTTGACGTATTTAAGTGAAATGTTTATCTAATGTTTAATTGATTTAATCTCGAGTCTCTTTATAAGTCTCAGGTTAATACTTATTGGCTTCCTAATTCTTCCAGTTTAGCTGTATTTAGTATTTCTTGTTTTGGTATTGTCAAATTATTATCTCTTTATTATCGACTTTTTATTTATCTATCTGTTTTCTATCAATTAAGATTTATCTGCCACTTTTCAATCTATATCCTTACCCAACCCCAATGAAGCTCCTTAATGGAACAACGTGGTTTTCGTAAAGATTGTTTAAACAAACAACTTTTTATCATTGACTCTTGTTAACTTTTTTGTTACAATACAGTTCTTGGTTATTACTACTGATGCTTCCCCGAAACGACATTACGTCGTGGTGCGAGAACTTTAGGTATACTAGAGTGAAGGAAATCAACATTTAATAAGATTATGTGATTTACAGGAGAAATGGGAATTTAATGGCTTTTGTGCGATCAGAGACAACAGATTGTAGCTTTCCTTTTATGATTGTAATTTAACCGTGTTTTATTTAAAATTATTGTCTTATTGTGATTTAATGTTTAAAGAAAGTATCATTTCGTTACCTTAAGTGCAAAATGCTGTATGTAAAATTAGTGTACTTTACAGGAGGTAGAAAAAACGTATTTACTTTTAAATGCATTTTTTTTTAAACATGGGAATAAAAAATATTTATCTTTTTATTTTTTACTTTTAAAATGATTTTGATTACACAAACAAAAATTATATGATATACTTATTTTTTTTTGTACATACGACACTTTGCAACTTAATTTATAGTTATAACTCTACATACGACTGTTTTCATGTAGACATACAGCTTTTTGCACTCTAAGTTCAAAGAAATAAAGTAACATACGACATTTAAAAAAATTTTATTTAGACAACTTCTACTCATTTTTGTAAATTTTTTGTAAAAAAAGTGGTAGTTCTCCTCAAGACAAGCTTTTAATTCTTGTAAGTCTTTGTACTTCCTGTCTTGAATTGGTAGATATTTGGAGTACAGAGAATTCAGTGTTAAAAAAATGTCATTAATTGGTTTTGGTCTCTTACGTAGCGCTAACCAGTTATCTAAAAAGTTTAATTTGTACCAAATATGGCCATTTTTTACATACTTAAGGCACCTTAAGTCAGTGACATAAGGGTCTCATTTTTTTAACTAGGCCTTAAACTCTTGTAGTATCCATTTGAAAAACAAAGAAAATCCTTAAAAAATAAGCTTTCTACACAGTAAGGCCTTGGATGGGTTCTTGCTTCACGTATTGCTCTCACGTAGTCTGCCGGAACGTAATGCTCTTTGTTCTTAAGCTTTTTTTCTATTTTGCTATGCATGGAGTCTACCTCCATTTGTGTGTGTCTCACTTTCAAATATTTTTGATATACAGTTACTCCTGTTTGGCAAGTGAAATACAGTAGAGCATTTGAAACAATCTCACACCTGTTTTTATAAGTGCAACCATCACTCAAAATAATTATTTCGTTGGTAGTTGGTTTTTTTTTTGAACTCTTTTCTCAATAACCTCACAATCATTGAAGCAAACACATCACTTTCTACACCTCCATTAACTTCGTGCCAAACATAGCATATGCCTTCATGTGTTCATTATGATCATCATCATCATCATCATCATCATCATCATCATCCAGCCCCATTTTTACATCCATTGTTGGATATAGGCCTTCTCCAAACGTCTCCAGTTCTCTCTATCTCTAGCTGCTGCAATCTAGTTTGTTTCTATTCTCCTTAGGTCGTTGGTCCATTGGGTGGGTGGTCTGCCTTCGCTTGTTGGCTCTTAGTCTTCACACCAATAATCTCTTCATCCATCTTCCGTCTTCCATTCTAGCAACATGTCCAGCCCACCTGCACTTTTGTTTATTGATTCGAAGTATGATATCGTCTACGCCAATTCGTCGGCGTATCTCCTCATTTCTCACGCGATCTTTAAAGGTCAGGCCCAGCATTGATCTCTCTATTCGCCTTTGTGTTACCCTCAGTTTTTCGGTAGTATGTGTATTTATCGATTAATTCTACCTTGTTGTTATTGATCTGTATCTCTTCGCTGGGAACCATATTGCTCATCATTTTGGTTTTCTCGAAATTTATCTCCAGCCCAGTTTCTTGTAGTCTGTCATTCAGTTCTTGGAGCATGTCTTTGATCTATCCCAGATTATCTGACGGAAGCACGATATCGTCCGCAAAACGTAGATGGTTTATTCTTTCTCCATCGATGGATATTCCTTACTCTTGATATGTTAGTATTTTAAATGCATACTCAAGAACGGTAATGAACAGCTTTGGTTACATGGTATCACCTTACCTGACTCCCCTTTTTATCTTTATTCCATTAGTTGCAGAATGTAGACTTATGGTTGTTGTGGCATTTTCATATATATATTTTTAACTATATTACAATATCTGTGGTCGACCCCGCAACCTTGTAGTGCTCTTAAGATGGACGGTAGTTCCACTGTATCAAACGCCTTTTTAAAGTCTACAAATATCAATGCCAAGAGACGGTTATATTCGTTAGTTTTTTCTATCATGGTTTTTAGGCACTGCAAGTGATCGTTTCTGCCGTAATTAGGGTAGAAACCGGCTTGTTCCCGAGGTTGGTAAAAATCCAGCTTTGTCTCTAATTTGTTCGTTATTATTCCGGTGTATAATTTATAAAGATGGTTAAGGAGACTGATTAGTCTGTATCTTTCCAGGTCTGCTATATCTCCCGTCTTATTGAATTATTCCACTTTGTTGGAATATTTTGATTCCATAGGCATAGATTAAAGAGCTTTTGAATTTTGGCTATCAGTACTGAGCCTCCTTTATTTATCGCTTTCGTGACGACACCGTCCTCCCCCGGAGCTTTGTTATTCTTCATCTTTTTTAGAGCCTCGTAAATTTCGTCCAAGGAGATTTCTTCGGAACCCTGATGTTGAACCTTCCTCTGTTGATATTCAACTATATCTTTGTCGAGTCGATTGGTTGCTATATTATGTCTCATAAAATGATTCCACAATTTGAAACAAATGTTCTCTGTTTGATGTGATGTTGCCATTTCTATCTGAGTTTGACTATTTGTTTATTTCCATTTGTGAGTTTGCATCTCATTATTTTGACACTCTTATTTTCCTCAATGGTTTTATTAATTTTATCATCTTTGTATTTTCTTAGGACTTTTCTGATTTCTCTTAATATTTCCTTGTTCATTCTATTTATATCGTTTTTACTAGAGTTTTCGTGGCTTCTCAGTATTCTTCTTTGTTTCATTTTTTTCTGTGTTTCCAGACTAATTATTTCTTCCTTCATGCTTTTTGGGCAGCATTTCTTTTAAGCTTCCGTTATTGCTTCTACTATTATGTCATTTAGGATGTTAATATTATTTGTTGATGATTTTTCTTGAGGGAATTTACCGATATGATCTTCAAAATTTTGTTTGTTGTTTGAAAGTGTCCATATATTTATTTGCTTCTTTTTTATCATATTGTGTCGTTTATAGTTGGTATTTAACACAATAGTGGCTCTCACCATACGATGGTCGCTTGATTTCGCAAATTTATTTAGCACTGTCACATCTGTAAATATGTATCTTTATGTGTTGCCAAGTTATAAATAGTCCAATTGTGAAATTTAAGTTTTGTTTTATAATAAGCTGTAGATGCCTTTATATTTGGACAAGTGAGAACTTTTTGCACATCAACAGCATAACCTTGCACTTCACTTAAATTTTGAGTCCTTTGAGTTTCTTTTTCATTTCTGGATTCAACTTTCCTGTTTTGGTAATCATCGTATTCTTCGTTTGTTATTTTTCCCAGTTTGTGTTGTAGGCAAGTCTCACACTGATCTTTTTTAGGAAGAAAAAACCCGATATTCTTATTTTCAAAAACTACATGAAAAACAGCTTTTGATGCTAGTTGAAGTTGCTGCTCTTGGCAGACACGCTCATATTCTCTGTAAAGTTAAATCTTGCTTTCCCACATTGGTTCTAAATACACTTTGCTTGTTATAGCACGGCAGTAGTGCGATTCCATTTTTGGCAAAGAGTCTAAAAATTGATGGATTCTCCTTGTATATTCTACATTTTCGTGGTTTTCCCGATGAATAGGAATATCAAGGAGTGATTTCATAACCCAAGAACGTAAAGACCCTTCCCCTAAAGGGAATGTATTTAAAAACATTTTCTTACATACTCGCATTCTTATATCACCCACCTTCAAATGGTACTTAAAAGAAGAATTTTTACGCAAGTTCTCTGAAACAGTACTTGGTCGTCGAAATTATGGTGTAAATGTATCCACCAAAGATACTATAGTAGCTTGTTTTGCTTCCCAACTTTCAACTTCCTTCAAAAAATTTGTGAAAAGTTGAAGCCTGTTAGCTTCACTCACTTTATCACAATTAAAAATCCTATTCTTGCATTCACATGGAGCTTCCATTTTTCGTTTTTCTCTTTCAACAGAAAGTTTCTACTGGCCGTTGTCTTGTTTTTCAAATCTAAATATTTTTCTCCTTTTCTTCTTTTTGCTGCATTAAGAGTTCGTTCCCAATCTCTTGGGTTCACGTTTTCCCCTTCCTTCTCTTCTTTTTGGTTAAAGGCACATCTTCCGTGCTATTATTAAGGCCAATCGACTAAGCCTCCTCTTGTGTAACAAAATCAGTTTCTTGTGAATTGTTTATTTTTTCAGAATTATTTTTCTTCTTTCGTTTTGATTTCACGTTAGTTTTATGTTTCACTTCAGTAAGTTTTGTTTTTGTTTTAAGCTTTTATCTTTCTTGTGCTTGATAAAGGTTGGTAGTCATCTTCAGATCCTGAAAAATGGTCATAAGTCACGTCTTCATTAGAAACGTCCGTCATTTTCTTGACTTTTTTTCTGGCTTTTCCTTTGGTAATTCTATGAGACCTTCTGATTGTCTGAATATTTGAACTATGTATACATATAAAATTAGATAGTTCAAATTCCAATTTTCGCACTTTAACAAGTACCAGTGGGCTACTTTGTCCTGGAGTAGTAGATTCTTCATGCATACTAACATGGTTTGTATTGATAACGCAGATATCAGTTAGTTTACTGGTACTGTGTAAGTTAAATTCATCACTAGCAGGCGGATCTACTTCTTGAAAATTAGAAAAAAGTTGTAATATCTCTACAAGAGAATAATAGTTGGCAGTACAACTTACGCTAAATCTCGAGTAACGTCCTTCTCTTACACTTGTGCAGGCGTAGGAAGCTTCACTTCACAGACCTCAGTAGCAGCTAATAAGGTCCCTTTAACAGCATCTTTATCATGTGGAATGTTGCTTATTTGCACATCAGGAACAGGTGGAGAGCTTTTTGATTGCGGCAATGTTCTAAAACAAAAAAATGAAACAGTAGTTTCCGATATATAGATAATGTAAGCTCGTCGTGAAACACCCTGTATAACGGATAATTTCTTTTTTAAGAATCACTTCATATTTGATTTTTTATACGTATTATCTCATTTTGGTTTATTGGCTCATTTTACTAACTTATTTTCATAAACAAAAATATTAAGAAAAAGAAATGATAACCAATTATATATCATAAAAGATAAACTGTAAATACACGAATTTTCAAATTCTTTGTATCAGTTTAATATTCTAAGGTTATTTCATTAGCCTGTACCTATACATTCTGTAAAACACATTCTTTATATTTTTTATGCCTACTATTGTAATTAAAATATACATAGAAATATTTTCTTTATATAAATGTGCTCTAGTATCGTAAATTTAATTTTAATATTGCACTGTTTGAATTTTTAGGAGATATATACATCTAAATGAATGTTTTATTGCTCAAGTTAAGAAACAATGCTCACCATCAAAGGAACTAACTAAATTTGAACAGGATTACATGAATGCTGTAAAAAGACCATGTGAATAAATCAACACAATTTAAAATGAAATACATTAGATATGTTACAATTTTTTAGTAAAGTTATACCACTAAGCCAATTGTTTTTTATTACTATTACAAATAATACCCGAAGCTGTATATTATCAACTTTGTTGGGCAGATTGATGTAATAACACTGGGGAACAATTTCAAACTCAATTTCTGTTGAGTTAGATTTTTTAGCTGTTTTCTATAGAATTAGGCGAGCTGTTTTAAAAACTGTTTTTACTTTTCTTCTATCACGTCACGTTCGTTTTCTATGTGGGTGGATCGCATGATACAAAGAAAAGAAAAGATATGATCTTGCGCATGAGGGCGGAGTCGTCGTTTATAATATGACGTAATGTGGAGAGGTAAAGAATAATCTCAACCTCTAGTATTTGTATTGTTGTGAAGTGTAGAATTATCATTTAATTTGTATAAGCAAAAGATACTCTTTTTTTATTTAAAGATGAGGTGTTTAATAGCTCTGTCTACTAGCGACAATCAAATTAATGTGGTTCAGAAAGATATTATGTTTTTCCGGTTTCCAAACGATCCAAATATTGTAAAAATTTGGGTAGAGACATGTAAACAAAAGGACTATTTTATTCCTTAAAATGGAAGGATTTGCTCAAAACATTTTAGTGCAGATAGTTTCAATAGAGATTTAAAATCTAAACTTATGGGAGTGTCTTTTAAAAATCACTGTCTTTTAAAAGATAATGCAGTGCCTACATTATATTTACCTTTTGCGAAACCAGTGGAAAGCAAGAAAGATAGATAGATGTATTAAAAAATATAATATTTCTTATACAAATTAATGATAATGAATTGTTTTATGTAAAAACAATAAAATAGTTAGGAGTCACATTTGATGAACAGTTGCGTTTTGTACAACATATAAATGATGTAACAGTTAATCCAATAAACACTTTAGGCTGTATCATTCGCAACTGTCTGAGATTATCTGCTTGGGCTTTAATAACAGTTTATTATGCTTTGGTCGGATCTAAAGTGGAATAAGTTTGAGTCTACTGTATGGTAACCACAATACCAAGTACATTCTACTACATTGGAGAGATTGCAGAACAAATTGGTCACATATTGTGCATATAAATTAAACATACACATTAATAATCATAATTATACAGATATTTTAAAAACCCTCAAAAACACATTTATTTATTAAAAACCTGACGAGATAACTTTGATTTAGTATTTGTGTTTAAATTAATAAATGTTTTAATTTGTTGTCACTGAACTTCTCCAATCTATTAGTTTATATGTTCCCTCCAGAAATCTCAAACATGTTGATCTGTTTTATATGCCTTTTCACCGTAGAAATTATGGTATGCATTCGCCCATTAAGCGAACACTGAAAATTATACATAGGAACAATTTGGAAATATTTGGTCTCTTCTTGGCTTCATTTAAAAATCGGATAAAAAGCTTGACAAGTTATAGGCAATTTCTTGTTCAATTAACATATATATATTTTTTTGTAACGGGGGTAATTCCGTATATTAATAAATAAATAAATATGTTTAATTTATTAAGTCGGTTTGTCACAGTTTTTCAATCGTTTTGCAAATCCGGAAGCAGCATGTAGCAGTCTTGCTTCATTCTTTGGATGATTTCTCAGTCCATCAGTTCCTAGTGTAGGGTTTTATTACTTACATACTAGGAAGCGTTGAATATCATTCTCAATATTTTTGATTGGACTTATTACATATGAGACAAACAAATTAAATATGAAAATTGACACTGTTAAGTAAAAGAGGAACTATTGATTTCATCTAGATTTGGTGGCCTTACACAGTATTTGAACATTTAAGTATTTAACAATGAAAGTATTTCATTAAAAGAATAGCTGATTATAACTTTATAATATGTTTTTTCACCCCTCCTATTTTTGTGAATTGTATGGACATATTTAATTTAATTTCTGCCTAATTTTAAATATCAATGAAATGTAAATACATGATACAAAAGACTACTCTTCTTTATTTGTATTATAAACGAAATAAAATCATGCGATAACCACAAATAAAAGAATTTTTATTTTTAATTTCAGCAGACTTACATTAATTAGTTTTAAATAATAAAGTTGACCAAATTCTTTAATTAATATCCCTGGCACCGGATTAACAATCTTTGCTATTTAGCTCTCGGTCCCAAAAAACGTCCCTTAATCCGGCATGAAATATCAGATGTCTCATAAAGTGATAAAATAATCTCAAAAAAAAATAATAAAAACAATAAATTATAAATAATAAAATATTGAAGTGATGAAATTAAACAGTCCTTTCATGTATTTTAACAATCTACCTCTCCGCATGACGTCACTGCGCAGAACAGGCGAAATTTAGGACGCTATCGATCATACCTTCCTTTCGTTGTACCATGGGTGGGGCGCATGTTGGTGGGAGAATGACGCGCTAATAACTGCAACTGGTCTAGACTTGACTGACGTTTCACGTGTTCACTTCATTTACATCTGTTATACCGTGGTAAAACGTTGTGTGTTGGTTACCGGTATTTAATATTTCGTTACTTAAGTATGTAGAACTACTTACAGTCCGTCCCAAACGTGAGTCTCTCATTATTATACATAGAACTTAGAAAATAGGTATCGGTCACGGGTATTCGCATATTAAAGCATATTCTACTTACGAACGTATAATTGGTTGGAGTTTAGAATACGCTAAATAGATATCTAATCAATTATGCATATAAATATAATTTAACACAGATGATCTTGATAATGACAGTGACAGTACTTTCACAATGTCAACTGATAAAATGATAATTGCCGTTCCAAACCCCCTCTGTGGCTCAGTGGTAAGAGCGCCTGCCTTTAAATCCAAAGGTCGTGAGTTCGAATCCCACATGGGTGGAAATTTTCGTTTATTAAAAAAAAAATTAATAAAAGAAAATAATTTCTATCCTTGCATGATCGGTACACACCGGAGGGACCGCAGACGTTCGGATACAATTAGCGTCTCTTAGCAAAGACAATGACGTCGACTTTGCTAAGTATCAAGAAAATTACTCTACACACACAAACACACACACACACACACACACACACACACACACACACACTACATTAATAAACTTATCTTGATTGAGACTGGCTGAATCACAATTGTCCAAGCCAAAACACACAAAAAAAAATTGCCGTTCCAGGTTAGTATTTTCAGACATTTTACCTACAGTGAAAATTAAATTTTGTATTTATTGTCATAAAAATATTTTAAATATTCCGAGATATACCGAGAATGAACAAAGACTAATATTAAAATTATTAAAGTAGTTTCAAAAAGAGGCTGAGTTATCTTTATTATCAGTTTCTGTCGTTCGCGAATCAGATTGTGAATTCCGGAATGATATTGAGAAAATATCTTAAACTAATACCGTTATGGATATTTATATGTATTAAAACGGTTCTTTTTAGAACCGTTTTCTGTCGTTCGCGAATCAGATTGTGAATTCCGGAATGATATTGAGAAAATATCTTAAACTAATACCGTTATGGATATTTATATGTATTAAAACGGTTCTTTTTAGAACCACGACATTTTCTTGAAATGTAAGATATAATTGATACCAGCCACATATCTAGTGTAATCATTGATTTTAAAGAATCAGATTCTGATTGGGATTATGGATTATTCATAAAAAAGAAGGTAAACTTACATTCAGTATCTTGTTTTTTAACTAAACTCCATTAACACGATTTCATCTGGATACCGGAACTGGTAGGTTAACTAAACTTTATAATCTTCTTTCATTTGCACACCAAATCTGGTAGAATAACTCAAAAATTAACTGCTTCACTATTTAAACTATTTCCACTATTTAATGACAAATCTCCACAAAATTAAACTATTGGCTGCCACAGAAACTTATCGGAAAATTAGTTATCCAAATATGACTGATTTAAATCGATGTTATTTTATCACAGGAATGTTTACTTTGATGCCTTGCAATTTTGATGACTGCAATTTCAATTGTCAGTAAATTTTTTACCTTGCAGTGAACTCTTAAAAGATTCTAGGAGAAAGCGTTATTTTAAATAAACAAACCTTTCAATTCCCTAGTGTTTGTAATAAATAATAATAAATCCATAAACAAATCTTAGCTAATTAAGCACTTTCCTTGGAATGTATAAAATAGAACAGAATAGAACAGAATTATGACAAACTGCTATGCATTTCAAACAAAAATAACCTTTTCACATTTAGCCGATTACGATCCTGCAACTGTCAGATTTAACTAAAATGTCATGCAATAATTCTCGACATTCTTTAAATCCTATATGACGTCAAAATTAATGACGCACTGAAAAAAGGGTTTGGGACAGACTGTACCAGATTTGGTGTGCAAATGAAAGAAGGTTATAAAGTTTAGTTAAAAAAACAATATAAATAGTTTAAATAGTGAAGCCGTTGATTTTTGAGTTAATCTACCAGTTCCGGTATCCAGATGAAATCGTGTTAATGGAGTTTAGTTAAAAAACAAGATACCGAATGTAAGTTTACCTTCTTTTTTATGAATAACAAAAATGAATATTATATTTCAAACAATCCATAATCCCATTCAGAATCTGATTCTTTAAAATCAATGATTACACTATATATGTGGCTGGTATCAATTATATCTTACATTTCAAGAAAATGTCGTGGTTCTAAAAAGAACCGTTTTAATACATATAAATATACATAACGGTATTAGTTTAAGATATTTTCTCAATATCTTTCCGGAATTCACAATCTGATTCGCGAACGACAGAAACTGATAATAAAGATAACTCAGCCTCTTTTTCTAATTGAAACTAATTTAATAATTTTAATATTAGTCTTTGTTCATTCATGTTTTTATTGTCATAAAAATATTTAAAATATTTTTATGACAATAAATACAAAATTTAATTTTTGACTGTAGGTAAAATGTCTGAAAATACTAACCTGGAACGGCAATTATCATTTTATCAGTTGACATTGTGAAAGTACTGTCACTGTCATTATCAAGATCATCTGTGTCAAATTATATTTATATGCATAATTGAT